GAACGTAGAATGCCGGCAGGGTAGTGTCGGTGCGTAGAAACAACGACGGATCAGCAGAGGAAGGAGCAAAACCAGGAGCCGCAAGTGTAGTCCTTAGTGTGTCGTGCCACTCTCGGGGCGCCTGGCGGAGACCGTAGACTGGCCGCCGGAGGCTCCACTAGGTACCCACAGGAAACGACCTAGTGAAGCCAGGTGGGCGGCGCAGCCAGATCTCCTTGTGAAGGCTGCCCTACAAGAAAGCTGTGGAGAAGTCGAGGGAGTGCAGCTCGTAGTCACGCTGTGCTGCAACGTGCAGAAGCACCCGAAGAGTAGTCATCTTCGGGGTGGGGGAGAAGGTCTGGAAGAAGTCAACCCCCTGTCGCTGACTGAAGCCTCGAGCAACGTAACGCGCCTTGAAGACAGGCGGAGAACCCGGTTGCCGCTTCACTCTGAAAATCCACATGCCATCGACTATGTTCGCCCCAGAAGGAAGAACCTTGTCCACGTAGGTGCCTGTGGACTTCTAGGAAGCCATCTCTGCGTCCATGGCTGTCTGCCACTGAGAGGAGTACTCACCCGCGATCGCCTCAGCGTAAGAGCGCGGGGTAGGGATGCCAAGTGCATCCGGGTCTCCCTCAGGGCAAAGCAGCATGGATGTGAAACGAGGTAAAGCAGTCGAAAGACACTCAAGCTCAAACTGTTTGTCCTCAATGACGTCACTACTAAGGGCAGGCTCACCCCCGACGGACGGAGGACAGATAGGGTTTGCGCAAACGGACGGAGGCCGTTTGCGGTCCGATACGCAGCGCATCAGCTCAATCCCTGGCCCCGTGTCTATGAGCCAGAGACCTCGCCTACACTCCAGTGGATGAGGAAGGTTGGCGATGCGTCGGTGTTTCGGGTCTGGGGCGCGCTCTGCCTTGTTCGCAATGCCAAAGCGAGCAAGCTCTCCTCCCGCACTCTCCGCTGCGTCTTCCTTGGCTTCCCCACCGTCGCCCCGCCGTGCCAGTTCTACTACCCGCGCGAGCGTCGAGTCTTCTCCTCCCGGGACGTCACCTTGACGAGTCTGTCTGTTTCTATAGGCTACACCCGCACGCGTCCCACCCGGCCCCCCTAGCGCCTCTTTTCTTGGTACCAGTCCCCCCCCTGGTAGACCCCCTCCCCCCACAGGGTCCTGCTCCCTCGGGTGTGTCTCAGGTAGACCCACCCCCCTCGGTTGAGCCTTTGGAATTCTCTTTTGACTCCTCTGGCCCAGTTGAGGGGGGTGACCCCGCCGCTGACGACACAGCGGCCACTCGCCGCTCTCCACGCTTGAAGACCCCCCCTGGTTTTCCGCCTCAACCGTCTTCGCCGCCTTCGCAGCCTGCTGCTGTAGAATCTGGAGCTGAGACTGCTGGTGCTGAGCCTGGGGGTGCTGAGACAGAGGGTGCGGGTTCTGGGGGTGCTGTGACTGGGGGTGTTGGTTCTGGGGGTGCTGCGCCTGGGGGTGTTGGTTCTTGGGGTACTGCGACTAGGGGTGCTGACTCTGGAGGTACTGATGGTGCTGGAGGTGCTGGACCTACTAGTCCTGGAGGTACAGCTAGTGTTGGAGGTGCTGGAGGTACTACTGGTGCTGGAGGCGCTAGAGCTGGAGGTACTGGAGGTGCTGGAGCTGCTGGTCCCGGAGGTGCTCGTACTGGAGGTGCTGGAGCTGCCGGAGCTCGTGGTGCTGTTCGTGCTGGAGGTGATACTGGAGCTGCTGGCAGTGGAGGTGCTGGAGGTACTGCTAGTGCTGGAGGCACTTGAGCTAGAGGTAATGGAGGTACTGGAGGTGCTGGAGTTGCTGGTCCTGGCGGTGCTTGTACTAGCGGTGCTGGAGCTGCCGGAGCAGGTGGTGCTATTGGTGTTGGAGGTGCTGGAGGTGCTACTGGAGCTGCTGGCATTGGAGGTGCTGGAGGTATTGCTGGTGCTGGAGGCGCTGGAGCTGGAGGTACTGGAAGTACTGGAGGTGCTGGAGCTGCTGGTCCTAGAGGTGCTCGTACTAGAGGTGCTGGAGCTACCGGAGCAGGTGGTGCTGCTGGTGCTGGGGGTGCTGGAGGTGCTACTGGAGCTGCTCGCACTGGAGGTGCTGGAGGTACTGCTGGTCCTAGAGGTCCTGGCGCTGCCGGAGCTCGTGGTGCTGCTAGTGCTGGAGGTGCTGGAGGTGCTACTGGAGCTGCTGGTGCTTCTGGTGCTGGAGGAGCTGGAGCTGCTGGTTCTGCCCCGCGCGGATTGTTTTTCTACCCGCAACCGCAGTCGTCCCTGCCGCCGCCTGACTCGGTCCTTCGCCAGGTTCTTAGTCTCCCGTCTTCTCTCTTGTGTTCACCGACAGACCAGTCTCCTGTGTCAGGGGTCCACTGGTGATCCCCGATTGATCCTAGGGAAGGGTTACAGGCTCGTTGTTCTGGGGGGTTGTGGGCGCACTTACCCACTACTTGACAAGCCCTTTTATCCTAGTGGTTAGTGGTTGGGATTCTGACATGGTATCAGAGCAAAGGTCTCGGGTTCGAATCCCAGCGTGTGCACTTCGGGCATCCCAGTGCGGGGGGGTGTCAGAGGTCCACTGGTGATCCCCGATTTATCCTAGGGAAGGGTTACATGCTCGCTGTCCCGGAGGGTTATGGGCGCACTGACCTCTGACAGAGAAGCAGCAAATCATATCAGCGTGGGAACTCTGCGTGCACCGTTTTAATCCGTCCCTTAGTCTTGTTTTAGTCTGATTTTGCATCCTAGACTCTACACCTTTAGAGTCGTAGTTGTGTGGATCCTGAAAAATCAGAGTACACATACTGTGAAAAATAGACCTCAGAAAAAAAGAAAAAAAAATCAAACAAAACCCCAAAAGTACAAAGTGGTTTTTTTCTCAAACACCAGCCCTGGGCGTGAGTCCCTTCGAGTGAAAAAAACAAAAGTTGATTTCCGAGGGTGCGGAGATGCGCGGTCCGAAAGAAAGTGGCTTTAATAACTAAGTGTTACGGGTGCAATGAATCGAGGTAGCGAGGACTGCACTAGAGTGTTCAATGAGTACAAAATATGAGCGAAGGCATGAGCGAATACTTATACGTGAAAATGTGCAAACGGCAATGCGGTGCGTGCGAGCTAGCCAGTGCTACGCTGGCGCGAGGTTCGGGCTAGTCCCGAAGCGTATGCCGACTCGGCTGCTCCAGTAGTGCGAGGTTTGGCAAAACAGTGCGCGCGAAGTTGGCGAAGCTCCGTTAACAGTAACGGGCGAACAATGGTTGCTGCTGTACGCGATGTGGGCGGTCGCGGCAAGGGATAGTGAGACAATTCCTTATATAAGGTAACATCGCGAGTTTTCTCATATGCAAACTTTGGTGACATCACGTAATATAGGGCTTCTTATAACTCTTGCACCTCCCCACCGCAATATTCTTATAACAGATCATTCTTGTTGAATCAATTGTTGACCAGCCAAGCGGACCTGCCACGCCAGCCGAAGATTCAAAAGCTGTTGGGGCAGTTTTGTTGTGATTGGTGACTATCTTCTGGCTACGAGTCACCGAGGGCCTCAGCCAGCGCAACGCTCAACTCACCCCACCACAGTGAATGGTGTTGGAAAAGGCAATGATGAACTGCCAAGCTGGCAATTGTGTCCGAAGAAGGCCCTTGAGACAGCTCGGTGGTTGGACGAATGTTTATATGGAGAACTTTAATTGGCCAGTCGCAAGCTCGCTGAAACTGGTTGTTATCCCGGGTTGGTGGGTGTCTATCCCGAGAGCCGGGCGGGATTCAGCAACTCGTCGCATTGTTAAAGCCGTGGCCCAACTATCAGCTTCAACTTCGAAGTATTATAGCTTGGAACTTGGTTGTCCCAGGCAGTTCTGTGGCGAGAAGTTTGTCATTTCCGAGATTCCATTTTTTTCATCCAATAAGGGTCTCGTTACGCACACTCCATGTTTGTCCTGCTACTGTTCCTAAGAAGTTGCACCCCGCCTTTAAAGGCAGGTCCTCTGACTTGGATGTTGAAAACGGTTAGGCAAAAATGCCATTCTGTGCATGAACAAGGCCATTCTGTGTGTTTTGATCAAAGATCACGGACTTTTCACGCGGATTTCATGGTTTGTGTTGTGGTGTCTGGTCTGGCAAAGTGGTGGGCAGCATGCCAAAACAGCGAGACAAGACGGTGCTTTTCGCTCACACTACTTGCGCGAAACTGTTATTCTTCGTCACGCCTCGTAATAAAAGTTATATATTTCTGCGACACGCGTCGAGCCGTCCGATACACATTTGACGAATCTTGTGTGACGATGAGTGCTAGCGACACCGGTGACACTTCAGTCCGAAATGATAGACTTCTGCGCAGAGGTGTAGCACCAGACAGGCGCAGATTCTGCGCATGGGCCACAAAGAGCAAAAAAGAACCGCACTCTACACGTGCACCTGCAAGCTGCCACGCTCTTCATTTGAATGTGAGATTGACAGGACAGGACAGGAGTGCACGCACATCATTCCAGCCTTCGATTAGTGCACTGTACGCCCGCATAACCCGCAAAAAACGCAGGTAGCAAAATCGCGTCTCAGCGGCCTCACTAGCGTTGGCTTGTCGTGGTTTCTGGATGTCTTCAATGGGGACCACCATCTCGTTATCTGTCACCTTTCTATCTGCGGAGAGTAGTTGTTGGGACTCAAGCAAATCCGTGATCCGTGTCGCGCATCGTTGTTTCCTGCGGAGCTGCTGTTTCGAGTGCTCACGCCCGCTCGTTATCAAACCGCCGGACAAGCTGTACTAGCGTGTGATTTCCCCATAGCCAATTCCCAGAGCCAGTTTCCCGTCACATTTAAAGCTCTCCACCGCGGCCCGATGGGTGAAGGCTCCCTTTCGTGACTGTCTCCTCTAGCGAGCCCCGTTAGTGGCGGCTTTTGTTGCGGGATCCCAAGGAGCGTTTTCTCGAATCGCCGCAATTCATTCGCGCTGACGGCACTGTTAATTCCCTGATTGAGTCACTCTTACGTACTGAACCGGCCCTCTCGTCGCGTTACCAATGGGGGGTTGCGTGGGCAAGCCGCCCCTCTCTCCCCCAGGCGTTCCCCGCGGCGACAGCTTCTTCGACGGCCCGCGCGACGCCGGAAGACGTAGAAGCGCCGCGCACGAATCGGCGACGCGCAACAAGCTAGGAACAGAGGTTCCGCTGCCGCCGCTCGAGAGAAAATCCAGCGGCGGGGTGCAGCGGTTCTCTGAGCCCGCCGCGCAAGCTACGCCGTCGCAGAAGCACGCGTGGGCGCAACCTTCCGCCGTCTGCGCGGACAAGCTACTGCCCGGCGCGGATGACCGGGCGGGACGCCGGAGCGAGGAGGGCGCGTCGGGATTCCTTCCCGGATCGCCCCCCGACAGCTCCGAGTGGCAAGTAAACGAGCCGCTCGATTTGTCCGTAATCACGGGCCGTAGCGCCATCCCCACGCCTCCGCGCAGCGGCGGCGCCACCGGCGGTGGCGCAGCGGCGGGTGCGCGGCATCATCCCGGCGAGGCGCGGTCATCGTCCGGCTTGGCACCCGTGGTGATGCCTACTCATATCGCAGGCCAAGCCGTTCCGATCGGACCGCGCGGATTCGATGGGGACGAGTCGCGAGACGGATCGCGGCAGAGCCTGGCGTCGCGCGGCGGCAACAGCTGTTGGTCCGCGACGGCCGGCGCGGCGGCGGCCGGCACGCCGACGAACCCGCCGCTGTATGCGCGGATGGCAGGGAGCATGCACGGCGCGGGGATGCTGAGCGGCGGGGGGATATTGGGCGGAAGGGGGAGCAGCGGGTACGGGAGCGGCGGCGGCAGCGGCGGGGGCGATTCGATGAATGGCGGCGTGGTGGTGGGCATGAGCAGCTCGTCCATGCATGCCGGCGCGATCTCCGGTGGCGGCTCGGGGCACGGGAGCAGCGTGGCGCTTAGGTATGTGATGCGCTTAGAAGAGCCGTGAGATCCGTTGTTCGGTGGTACTGGATTGGCGGGAAGGGAGGGGAGGATGTGGGGAGTGGGAGGGGGGGGGGAATGCGTGTGCTTTCTTGTCGCGCATGCTTAATAGTCGTGTGCTTTGCTTTGCAACAGTCGCGATTAATGCTATACCATGCGCATTGCTTGGTGACCTCACGAGTCATTGCCGTGATGTCGCATGCTGAATGCATGACAACGGCGTCTTGTCCGCGTTGTTGCGCGCGTGCAGGGCGGCGCAGGCGGCGAAGCTGAGGGCGGCGCGGACGGCGCAGGAGAGGCACAACGTGCGCATCGTGGGGACGGGCCCTGAGCTCCTCGTGCTCTCCCACGGCTTTGGCTTCAATCAGTCCGTGCGTGCTGCTATCTGCTGCTATGTGCTGCTATGTGCTGCTATGTGCTGCTATGTGCTGCTATGTGCTGCTATGTGCTGCTATGTGCTGCTATGTGCTGCTATGTGCTGCTATCTGCTGCTATCTGCTGCTATCTGCTGCTATCTGCTGCTATCTGCTGCTATCTGCTGCTATCTGCTGCTATGTGCTGCTATCTGCTGCTATCTGCTGCTATCTGCTGCTATCTGCTGCTATCTGCTGCTATCTGCTGCTATCTGCTGCTATCTGCTGCTATCTGCTGCTATCTGCTGCTATCTGCTGCTATCTGCTGCTATCTGCTGCTATCTGCTGCTATCTGCTGCTATCTGCTGCTATCTGCTGCTATCTGCTGCTATCTGCTGCTATCTGCTGCTATCTGCTGCTATCTGCTGCTATCTGCTGCTATCTGCTTTCACATGCATGCCCGCGCCGATGCACATGCTTTCTGCTGCCTTGACATGCATGCCCGCGCCGATGCACATGCTTTCTGCTGCCTTGACATGCATGCCCGCGCCGATGCACATGCTTTCTGCTGCCTTGACATGCATGCCCGCGCCGATGCACATGCTTTCTGCTGCCTTGACATGCATGCCCGCGCCGATGCACATGCTTTCTGCTGCCTTGACATGCATGCCCGCGCCGATGCACATGCTTTCTGCTGCCTTGACATGCATGCCCGCGCCGATGCACATGCTTTCTGCTGCCTTGACATGCATGCCCCACATTCCCACGATCCCATGTCCACGCGTTCATAAATTCTCTCGTTGATTGTTTTTTTTTTCATGCGCTTCACCATCTCCCTTCGGGCCTCCGCATTACCTGTCCCTACCTTCAGATGTGGACGCATGTGTTGGAATCGTTTGACACCGCTCTGTACCGCATTGTGCTCTACGACCTCACCGGTGCTGTAGGGTATGCACCTCTGCCCCCTCTCTCTCGTCTCGCCCCATCCACCCTTCATCCTCTCCCTCTGCTGGCCCTGCTCCTCATGCCCTTTCGGCCCTCTCTCCTCTCTCTCCGCTCTCCTCTCTCCTCTCTCCTCTCCCCTCTCTCCTCGCCCCTGCCCTTTCTAGTCTCTCTCGCTGCCCATCAATCAATCCTCACCCCATCAATCAATCCTCACCCCATCCCTCCATGTTTCCCCACCCTCCCCACGTTCCCCGACTCGCCCCATGTGCCCCGACCCGACCCACCCCATATCTCCCCTCCATTCCCCCATGTCGGTGCAGGTCAGACAGCGATGCTTTTGACTTTCAGCGCTACAGCACACTGCACGGCTCCATTCCTTACCGTTGCTCCCGCCCTGCCTCCCCCTCATCTCATGCCCCCCCCCCGGTGCAGGTCAGACAGCGATGCGTTTGACTTTCAGCGCTACAGCACGCTGCATGGCTTCGCAGAGGACCTGCTACAGCTGCTCACAGAGATGGGCGTCGAGGTGCGTGCTACAGGTGCTACAGCTGTTGAAGCTGTTCGAGTTGTTACAGCCGCTACTCCCCTCTCGTCCCTCTCTTATCCTTCACTCCTCCCTCACCCCCTCCGTCTCTCTGTGTGCTTGTCTCCGTGTGTGTGTGTGCGTGTGGGAGCACACAGGGCGACTGGGGCCAGCAGTGCACGCTGGTGGGGCACAGGCAGAGCGGCATGATCGCACTGCTGGCAGCCATCGAGCGGCCCAAGCTCTTCAAACGCATTGTGCTGCTCGCCTCTACGCCCAGGTGAGTCGTCGTGGCTTGCTTGTACCCATCAGCATCAGCATCAGCATCAGCATCAGCGTCAGCATCAGCATTAGCATCAGCAATTTGCATCAGCATCAGCATCAGCATCAGCATCAGCAATTTGCATCAGCATCAGCATCAGCATCAGCATCAGCATCAGCATCAGCATCAGCATCAGCATCACCATCAGCATCAGCATCACCTGAACGCCAGCCTCACCACCCATTGTCCGTGCCCATTTCAGGCTGCTGGAGGCCACGCCCGACTACAACAGCAGCTTTGGCCTGTCTGACCTGGACACCTGGCAACTCCCCGTCCCACACTCCTCCTCACCACCCCTCACCACCCCTCATCACCCCTCTCCCGTGTGCATGGCAGACTGCTGGAGGCCCCTCCCGTGTGCACAGCAGCTTCGGCCCGCTGACCTCGCTCACTCAGACGCCTTAACTCCCCTCACCACGCATCACCGCACTGCACCCCTCACCACCCTTGGCAAGCTGCTGGAGGCCCCGCCCGACTACAACAGCACCTTCGGCCTCGCTGACCTCGCCAAAAGCCCCTCTATACCACCCATTACCTGCTCTCCTCGTCGCCGCACTGCATCCCTCACCACCCATCGTCTGTGTGCATGGCAGGCTGCTGGAGGCTCCTCCCGACTACTGCTGCACCTTTGGCCTCGCTGACCTGGACAAGGTCTTTGGCATCATGCAAGGAAACTCCCCTCACCCCCACTCCTTCCCGTACCACCCATCACCGCACTGCACCCCTCTCCACCCATCACCCGTGCGCATGGCATGGCAGGCTGCTGGAGGCCCCTCCCGACTACAACAGCAGCTTCGGCCTCGCTGACCTGGACAAGGTCTTTGGCATCATGCAGGGAAACTTCCGGGTAGGTGCTGCCAGTGGAGTGGTTAGCGTGCTGAAAGGAAGAGATGTTGTTCTTGAATGTTGCACTGTCACTGGCCTGCCTGTGCTCCTGTCACCTAGGGAGGCGCCTTCAAAGTTGCTCTGTCACTGCACTGTCACATAGGCGCCTGCCTATGTGTGTTACTGAAGGCGCCTGCCTATGTGTGTTACTGAAGGCGCCTGCCTATGTGTGTTACTGAAGCGCCTGCCTGCCTATGTGTGTTACTGAAGGCGCCTGCCTGCCTATGTGTGTTACTGAAGGCGCCTGCCTGCCTATGTGTGTTACTGAAGGCGCCTGCCTATGTGTGTTACTGAAGGCGCCTGCCTATGTGTGTTACTGAAGGCGCCTGCCTATGTGTGTTACTGAAGGCGCCTGCCTATGTGTGTTACTGAAGGCGCCTGCCTGCCTATGTGTGTTACTAAAGGCGCCTGCCTATGTGTGTTACTGAAGGCGCCTGCCTGCCTATGTGTGTTACTGGACGACGTGAGGGCAGGCAGCACACGTGAGGGAGGTGGTGCGGCCGTCTCATGCTGAGGCCTCCCTTTATTCCCTCCATATCTTTCCTAGCTATTCCTTTCTCCACAATGCCCTTACCCCCACCCCCAGTTGTGGGCCAAGGGGTGTGCGCCTGTGTTGAACGTGGACGATGTGAAGGCAGCACATGTGAAGGCAGCACATGTGAGGGCAGCACATGTGCAGGAGGTGACGCGGTCACCGTGCTCCTCCCCTTGCATCCTCTTAGCACCTTTGCTTTTCAACCTCGCTCCCCTCGCTCTCAGTTGTGGACCAAGGGGTGTGCGCCAGTACTCAACGCGGATGATGTGAAGGCGCAGCATGTGAGGGAGGTGACGCGGCCGCTCTTCTCGCTGCGCCCCGACGTTGCCTTCTCGTGCCTCAAGACCACCTTTGCCTGCGACCTGCGAGAAGTGCTGCCGCAGGTGGGTGTGGGTGGGCGTGTGGGTGTGTGAGATTGGGCCTGTGGGCATGGGGGCGGTGACCCATGAGGGCAAGAGGGGTTTAGAGGATCCTGGCATCACCTTCTGTGCCTCAAGACCACCTTCACCTACAACCTGCATCATGTGCTGCCTCAGGTGGACATGTTGCTGCCTTTGCCTGCCTCATCTCAAAACCTCCTCCTCCCCCTTTCTCCCTCTCTCTCTCAATTACACAGACACACACAGACACACATACACTCACTCACTCACTCACTCTCTCCCACTCATCACCCCCTTCCCATCCATCCCCCTTCATTCTACCCCCCCAGGTACAGGTACCAGTGGGCATGCTCTTCCTAGAGGCAACCGCGCTAACCCCTCGGCTGTTTTTGAGTTTACTAAAAAGTCCACTCTCCCCCTCCCATCCATCCTCGCAGGTAGAGGTACCAGTGCACATGCTCTTCCTAGAGGGCGACCCCGCCACCCCTCCGGCTGTAGCAGACTACATGCTGCGCCACATGCCCTGCGCTACAGCCGAGGCCCTCCCTGCCAGGTCCGTGCACCAGCAACCTGATGTTGTTGCGGGCGGCATTCTTCGGCTGCTTCAGGCCGCCCCGGAGAACTCCAGTGGGTCTCAGTTGACAGGTGGTGGGGGAGGGTTAGCGTCTCCGCCCTCTGATGCATGGAGTACACCCATGGAAGTGGAAATTATATAATACATTTTTAACAAAAATATATCGGGGGCATGTATACTTGTTGGGCTGATAAAAGCCCTTAGGATCTTTCCAAGGCAAAGATTAGGAATGTTGTAATTGCGAAAGCGTTCTTAGTGAACTTGTTGAACCAACTTGCACTAGTGTGTGAGAGCAAGAGATTGATTATAGCAAGGTAATACAAAGGCTTTTATAAGATTACAAGGAATATGAAAAGTTGCAACTAACTGTTTTGCTGTTGCGGTTCGATACAGTGACGGCTCGGGCAACTGCTCAATACCGAGTCAGTTGTTTGTCCTTGCTGTCGCGCTGTATTTCGTCGAGTCAAAGGTCGCTGACCTTTGACCTTCGCGTAACCTCCAGCTGTTACTTTCTGTCAACCTCCTCGGTTGACTCGCCGTTGCTCCGCTGTGATTCGCCTCGTTTGTAGTCTATTGTTTCGACACAACAGGAGCGACACATAGCTTGTTTCCAACACTCCCCTTCGCTTCTGGAGTGTCGCTGCTGATGGCGTGGCCTTGTCCAGTCAGCAGCATGCAATACTCTAACTTCTGCTTTCCGAGCTTCTTGGTCAAATAGTCGGCTGCCATCTCGGATGTGGGACAGTAGGATAACTCAACTCTCCCCTTCTCGATTTCGTCTTTTACGAAGAAGTACCGGAGGGCGATGTGCTTCGTTCGATTCGCGAACCCGTTTTTGTTCGCTATGCGAATGGCCGATTGGTTGTCGCAGAACAGGGAGAAGCTGGGTAACTTATGTTAGAATAACGAACGAGAATGAATGAACTAGCAAACAGCTGGGTACAAGTACTAACCCTAATTGGGTTGTACCCCTTATGGGCTACCCCACTACAGCCTACACAAATGTATAAGCTATAATGTTCTGACACACCCCCATAGGCAAAGTGGGGGAGAACAAGTGGTCACAAGACCAGTCAAGAAAAGCAAAGCAACTCAGGGTGGTGTCAGAATGTGATGTTTGTGTAGCCTGCAGTGGGGTACTCTATAGTGAGTACAGCCCGAATTAGGGTTTGCTATATGTACTGAACTGCATGCTAGTGAAAACCCTCTTTTCTTGTTTCTTGTTTCTGCCTAGCATTTCAACATGCTATCAGAGCAGGTCGACCCTCCTGGGTCGATCCTGTGGGTGGGTCCCACCCGATGCTTCCGCTGCTCTACTGCTTGTAGCGCGCCCCGCGCGCGTGCTGTTTCCTGCCTGCCGCGCGCTCCGGGCGCGCATCGATTTTTTCTTCCCGCCGTGCGCCCCGAGGCGCGCGGCGGTTTTCTGCCCCGTCGAACCGTCGCGTCGCCCCCCGTCGCCCGACGCGGCCCACGCGACCTGCGCCAGGCCCGCGCGCGGCCCGTACGGGCTGCACCAGGCCCGCGCGCGACCCGTACGGGCTGCGCCAGGCCCGCGCGCGGCCCGTACAGCCCGCGCGCGGCCGGTACGGGCTGCGCCAGGCCCGCGCGCGGCCCGTACGGCCTGCGCCAGCCCAGCGCGCGGCCCGTACGGGCTGCGCCAGGCCCGCGCGCGGCTCGGGCAGCCCGCGCGCGGTTCGTACGGGCTGCACCAGGCCCGTGAGTGGCCCGTACTGTCTCCCCCCTTGCCGCACGCCGTCCCCCGAGCTCCTGACTGCGCCCCACCCCCGCTACTGCCTGCGTTCCTGTGTTAGGGTTTGGGGGTGGAGAGTATGGGGGTGCCGTGTGTGTGAGCCGTCCCCTCCTCCGTCTCCCACTGCTGCAGCTGCCGCTGAGGGGGGTGGATGTGTTGGAGCCGTCGGAGTCGTTCGAGGGGGGTGGCGTGTGCGCAGTGCTAGAGGTGCAGCAGGGAGTGTGTGAACGGGGTGTGGGACAGTTGGGGGAGGTTGACCGGAGGTAGCCGACTTGTTGTCCGCAGTGCCTGAAGTCCAGAGAGCCACGACCCCCTGTAGCCTGAGTAGTCCGGGGCTCTGCGCCCGGTAGCCACAGTGTGAGCACTCCTGGTAGTCCAGAGAGCCACGACCCCCTGTGGCCTAAGTAGTCCGGGGCTCTGCGCCCGGTAGCCACAGTGTGTGCACTCCTGGGAGCACAGTGAGCCAGCTGCGCCTGTCGCCGTGTAGTCCGGGTTTAGCCTGGTAGCGACAGTGCTGCGCACTCCTGCTGCCTGTGTGTCTGCAACTTCAGCCGTCGCCTCCCATCTTCTCGCCCTCACAGTTTCTCCTCCTCCTCACTTGCCCTCTGTGACTGCCTCTAGCTTTGCTTATACTTGTGAACTACTGCTTTTCCTGCTTGTTGTTTTGATTGTACCCCACTTTGACTATGGGGGTGTGTCAGAATGTGATGTTTGTGTAGCCTGTAGTGGGGTACTCTATAGCGAGTACAGCCCGAATTAGGGATTGCTATATGTACTGAACTGCATGCTAGTGAAAACCCTCTTTTCTTGTTTCTTGTTTCTGCCTAGCATTTCAACAGGTGGATCACAAAGTCACCACACAGTCCAAGCACAAGCAAAGGGCCACAAGGCCAGTTCACATGCAGAGTTATATAAAGAGAACAAACAATACAGTGATCATACCCTAGCAAGTGCAAGCATGCAGGTATATATAAAGATCACAGTACAAGCAGAGTCAAGCAGTAAGCAAGTGAGGCAAAGTAGGCACAAGGCCTAACACAGTAACAAACGCTGATGATCACCAGGCGGAAGTGCCTTGGTGAAGACATCAGCAGTGTTGGCCCGAGTGGCCACGTATGCAAGACGAAGCTGGCCACGCTGCTGCAACTCTTGAGCAAGGAAGTATCATGGAGCGATGTGCTTCGTTCTGTGCTCCAGTCTGTGCTCCTGACACAAGGCAATCATGGCCTTGTTGTCTACGTACAGATTTGGAGGCGAACGAGGCTGCTCTCCCAAGTCGGTCAGCAGGTAGGTGAGCCAGCGTAGCTCCTAAGCAGCCATGGCCCCGGCGTAGATCTCAGCCTCACAACTGGAGCCGAGAACCGAAGACGAGCGGGTAGACCGCCAAGAAACAGAGCCGGAACCAAGGCTAAAGGTGTAACCCTGTGACGACCGCTGCGTAGCTGAGTCGTCAACCCAGGAGGCGTCTGCGTGACCGGTGAGGACAACTGGACCCAGTACCCACTTCGCAGCATCCCAGTGCACCTTTCGGTGCCTACCGGGAGCCACGTAGCGAGCCAGGAGGCTGAGAGGGCACGCGAGGTCGGGTCGAGTGCACGTCATCAGGTACATGAGGCAACCCACAAGCTCTGGGTACGGACCACTCGACTCTACGGACTCGTCCGAAGGTGGAGCTGAGAGCGAGTGGCTGGTAGACAGAGGAGTGGGCTGTGGCGAGGAGAACTGGAAGCCGAAGCGCTGAAGGACCTGGTGCACCATGTGTGACTGAGTCAGGGTGATGGTGCGCCGAGCTCTGTCCCGGGTGATCTGCAAGCCAAGATAGCTGTGCAGTTAACCCAGGTCAGTGCAGGTGTGTCTCTTCTGCAGCTCCGACTTCACAAGAGTCAGTGCCTCAGTGTCAGCAGTGGCAAAGACGAGGTCGTCGACGTAGACAAGGACGTAGAACGGCGGCAGCGAGGTGTCGGTGCGTAGAAACAGCGACGGGTCAGCAGTAGCAGGAGCAAACCCAAGAGCCGCAAGTGTAGTCCTCAGTGTGTCGTGCCACTCGCGAGGCGCCTAGCGGAGACCGTAGACTGGCCGCCGAAGACTCCACTGAGTACCCGCAGGAAAAGACTCAGTGAAACCAGGTGGGCGGCGCAGCCAGATCTCCTCGTGCAGGCTGCCCTGCAGGAAAGCTGTGCTGAAGTCCAGAGAGTTTAACTCGTAGTCACGCTGAGCAGCGACGTGCAGCAACACCCGAAGAGTAGTCATCTTCGGGGTGGGGGAGAAGGTCTGGAAGTAGTCAACTCCCTGTCGCTGATTGAAGCCTCTAGCAACGTAACGCGCCTTGAAGGCAGGCAGAGAACCCGGCGGCCGCTTCACCCTGAAGATCCACATGCCATCGACTATGTTCGCCCCAGGTGGGGGAACCTCGTCGACGTAGGTGCCTGTGGACTTCCAGGATGCCATCTTGGCATCCAAGGCTGCCTGCCACTGAGAGGAGTAAGGACCCGTAATCGCCTCTGCGTAAGAGCGCGGGGTCGGGATGTCTGGAGCATCCGGGTCTCCCTCAAGGGCAAGCAGCATGGAAGCGAAACGAGGTACAGCAGCTGCAAGACACTCAAAGTCCTCCTGCCTGTCCTCAAGGATGTCCGTGCCAAGAGCACACTCACCCCCAACGGACGGAGGACTGGCAGACGCAGACTCAGCAACTAGAGCAGTGGCGTAGTCTAGACGACAGGCAGCAGCAAATTCAAGCAGCTCAGCAACGAGAGCAGACGCAGCAGCAGACTCAAAAGAAGGGTCAGTGACAGCAGTGGTGAGGAGACGAGAGACAGTAGGACTGGCAGCACGAGCGCGGTCAGACTCAGGGTCAGGGACCTCAGGAAGAGAGGACTCAGGAGGAGCAGGCAGGGGAACATGTAGTGGAACAGAGGAAGGACGAAGTGCCATAGCGTGCGTGCCAGGGACAGGAGGAGGACGCAAACGAGGAACGCGACGAGCAGTGCGAACACGCGAGACAGGACGAGACGCAGGCTCACGACGCTCTGTAAGACCGCCGGACTGCTCAGTAAGACCGCCGGACTACTCAGTGGAAGGAGAAGGAGCAGGCAGTGGAGAGGCCGGCTGTAACGGCAGCTGCGACTGGTCAGGCGGGGGACACAGAAGGGGAGGAGTAAGGACAGCAGAAGGCGGGGTACCAAGAACCTGCTGGAGCAGGGGAACGAAGTATGGTCGCGGCCGCACAGTGCCACCAGGGTCAACAGCTCCAGCTCCTCCAGCTCCAGCACCTCCAACACCAGGGCCTCCAACTCCAGGGCCTCATGCGCCAGGGCCACTAACTCCAGCTCCTCCAGCTCCAGCGCCACCAGCGCCAGTAGTACCAGACTCCGGAAGGTTTCCAACTCCAGCAC